ACTTATGGCTTTGTTTTGTTTTCTGGTTAAAATCGAAGTTAAGGAACTCCTGGACTTTCTTGGAAGCCAGGGTTGGCTTTGAACTAGGACCCCCAGATCTCATCCTCCTGAGTAGCTAGGATGACAGGTGTGAGCCACCAGTGTCTGGCTTGCCTTGCTGTTTTTCTGCCCGACACGGATCGTGCAGACCCCCTCTGGACGACCACGTCCTCCTCGGCTTTCCTGGGCTAGAAGGAAGCTCCCTCTTTGCAGGTCGATTGCTGTTGATCTTTATAGTCACCGTTCCCGCCTGACTCCCGAAGCGTCGGTCCGTCCACAGCAGGTACCGGGCGGTGCAGGAGCTGCCCGGGGTTCCGAGACTCCGCTTGCATCGCCGGATTTCCAGGCCCCTAACCAACGACGCGGGCCGACGCGGTTAGGTCCCCCCTGCGTCCCGGCGAGTCCGGATTTTCCGTAGCCCGGCTGGGACCTCCTTGACGTCCCTCCTGCCCGCCCGTCTTCCCGCCCGGGGGCCGAGGAGGGCGCGCGGGCGCCGGCGGGGCCCGGGCGGAAACCCGGGGACGAGACAGTCACCCGACGTGTGCGACGCGAACAAGGGCAGCCCGGCCGCCCCGTCCCGAGGGCGGGGCTTCACGCGCTCTCTCGTCCGTTCATTTTTGTGGTGGCGCTGGAGTGTGCACTCGGCCCTGGGCGTGTCCCTGAGCGGCTTTTGCTCCAGGCCAGCGCTCTGTGAGCCCAGCCACTCCGGCCTCTTTCTGTGTCAGTGGTGCTGAGGAATCAGCCCAGGCTTCCTGCGCGCCAGGCGAGCGCCGCCGCCCCGCCCTGACAGCCACGCCCCTGACAGCCACGCCCCTGACAGCCACGCCCCTGACACCACGGCCACGCCCCTGACAGCCACGCCCCTGACAGCCACGCCCCTGACAGCCACGCCCCTGACACCACGGCCACGCCCCCTGACGCCCTGACCGCCACGCCCCCTGCCCCGCCCTGTCACCCAGCCTTATTATTGGTCTGATGCTCCACCACGTGAGCCACAGCTCCCTTCCAACGCTGTTGTGTAGATATAAAGTCTCATAGGGTTTTCTACCCTGGCTGGCTTCAAACTGCGAATTCTCTCCATCTCAGCCTCCTGAGTAGCTAGGACTTCAAGCATGAGCCCATAGTGGGGAACTGTGCTGCTTTTTGTTTTTTGTTTTTGTTGTTTCTGTTTTTGTTTTGGCAAAACCTGGGGAGTTAGACAAGTGGTAAGTATTTCTTAAGTTAAAAGAGGCAGGTGCTGAGCGCCCGTGTCTCACGCCTATAAGCCTAGCTACTCAAGAGGCTGAGATCTGAGGATCCTGGTTCAAAGCCAGCCCAGGCAGGAAGGTCCCTGAGACTCTTACCTCCAATTAACCACCAGAAAACCAGAAGTGGCTCAAAGTGGTAGAGCGCTAGCCTTGAGCAAGAGCTCAGAGACAGAGCCTAAGCCCTGATGAGTTCAAGTCCCATGACCAAAAAAAAAAAAAAGAGGCAGGAAAGGAGGGCAATACCGCTATTTGGGGGGGAGGGGACACAAGGGGCAGGTATTTCTTTGCTTTAGGCAGTTTCTCCACATCAAGGATTGTAGATGAAAGCTGTTTAATCTTTACTGTTGGGCAGGGTGATAGTGTTTTGGGGGGCTCAGGGTAAGTTTGCCAGAGTAGGAGAAATAACATTAGTATTTTCAAAAATAACAGTGTTAAAGCCCCGCGACGGTGGCTCAAGCCTGTCATCCTAGCTACTCAGGAGGCTGAGATCTGAGGATCGTGGTTCAAAGCGAGCCTGGGCAGGAGAGACCGTGAGACTCCTATCTCCAATAAACCACTAGAAAACCGGAAGTGGAGGGGGGACCAAGATGGCGACGGGGCAGTAGGGAAACGCCACAGCTCTCTCCAACCAAAAAGAGAGTTCGAGTTCCAACGCTTAATCTCCCCAAGAGACCGACAACAACAAAAAGACGAACACTCAGAGAAAAACCAGAGGTGAGAAATAACAAAAAA